CTGCATAGTGGTAGCCATTGTAAATATGCTGGAAAGTAAAGTTGTTGAGGAAAATGAGTGGAAATACTTGGTTAACAACATTTATATGCTTTGACACATATGCAAGTAAATAGAAAAATGTTTTTTCTTTCAATTGATATATGATTTAGAACTATTACACTGTTGTAAACTATGAAACATCCCTTGAATGCTGATCCTTGCAGAGGTCGCTAGTATTTTGTGTTTCAGAAGGAATTCTGACTATTGTTCACATCCAACTTGGACTAGCTACAGGATAGAAATTTTTATTTTCACTGCACAAAGATGGACATGTACAGATGCTTTTTCACTGTATATTGACACAATTTTCCTTTGAATAGTAAACCCACGTTTTCTGAGTACATCAGGCTATCCAATTCAATTATTATGTAACACTTTCTACAGTTTTTGTATAAACACATGTATTTAAATGTATTAAAACAGTATGTGTACTATACAGTACAATACATGAGCACAAGTTAAAGAAACAGAATACCAGGTATATACCACAATTATTGACTGTTGCTTGGGCCGGTACAGCTGGTACAAGGCAATTTTAAATAAAAAAATTGTGATCACTAAAATCAGAAAACATCATTCAACCCTAAGACCCCCAACCCCCTATCTGACAGGCCTTTGCCTTGAAACTGACATGAGGATAGGGCTTAATCTCCCTGTTCCTCCTTAATTCACTGTACAAAAAATTTACAAACCAGCAAATGTGTTGAAATATTTTTGATCACTTGCATGTTCAGTCAAACAATAACAAAGCAACTGATCTGATAAAATAGGTCAGACAAGTTATACAGCTATTACACTAATCTTCAGCGAGATCTTGACCAAGCCATTCCCGACACTCGGGTTTGACAGATGGCTTACCAGCTGCTCTACCATGATAATGGACACCATGAGCAATAGTACGACTTCATCCTTCCAAATCTTGGCATGGATGATCATCAATCAATTTCAACAGTCATATATTTTGGATGCAAGTTTAACGACATTTCATACAGATACTGAATTGGTCTGAATATAGAATGTGAACATGCAGTTTTTATATTTCTTGTCTTAAATATTGTATTGTTGTCGGCTGAAAATTAAATGTCAAGCTAAATTTCCCCGCCTGTCAAAAGCTTTAGGTCTGAGGTTTTAATTCATTTCCGGGCGAATTATATAATATATCAACCAGTGTGAGTTGGCACAGTCATTACTCAAACAAAATAGCATTGTTCTTTGCACACAATTAAATTTTCATCCCATCATCGGCTGGGCATACTGCTAACACCCACTGTAGTATAGGTTTGTCCAAGTTGTGTTTGAACAGTTTACAATTTTCCCGATATTATCAAGCAATATTTAAACACAACACACAATAAATGGACATTTTCAGTAAAACACGTCAATCACTATCTCCATAAAAAATATATCCCCCCGGTTTTTGACGTTCGCAGCCACTGAATCAAACATCAAAGAACGATCTTGAAGCAGACGAAAATATGGGGAAGGTTGAGGGAGTAGAATGTTAATTCACATAATCTTAATACATATACGTACCATTCACATTATGGAAGGTTGATAATTGCAGTAAAATCCCCAGAACAAGAAACTTCGACCATGTAAACAGACTATCCATCCTTTAAGTGACTCACATCTTTCTCTCTCACTTCCTAATCAGTAGAGTGGTCTGTGAGCTATAGCCCTAAGTGTACCCGTACCCATCCGACCGGAAGTCACACTACTACCGGATATACGTAACGAAACAGTTAGAAAGCTTATAGTTAAACGATTTTTGTTTCATTTCCTCAATGATTTCACTTCTTAGTCACTACCAATCAAACACAATGTTAAGTGCCTTGATAAATATGGAGAGATTTACATTTTCATTATTTCATATTGTAATGTATGGGATTCATCATTATTAGATCATGATGGTCAGGAAAAGAAAACAGAAACACGTATGACGTGTAAAGGTACATGAGAATTATAATTAGATATGGAATATATTCTTATATGAGCCACCCTCCCCTTACCAGACCCAGAATAGGTGTCCTTTCTTTCAGTAAGATGATTTTTTTATACCTTTTAAGGGTAGGAACCATGTCAGAACAATGCAGTGACGTAACAGCAACAATTGACATAATGTCATCATTAGGCATTACACGTAATGTTGCTATCACCATGCTTGGCATTGTTGACATGATTATGTGAAATTGTTGACGAACGTCAACGAATTGTTGTTGTAGCGTCAACTTGACGGGAGAATACCCCGTTTGGTTTTTTTTTTTTCAAGGGTATTAAAAGGAATTTTAACTCCGCTAAAGCCTGGATACGTCTGTCCTGTCCGGGTTGAGATAATTCCTTGTCATACATTAGATGGAGATAGACGGAACCCCCTGTTAGTTAAAGATATGATATCACAAAATTAATTGGCGCCAATTATTGAAAATTGATGTTCCCAGAATCGAATTTTTGTATCCTTAAAAATAATATTCATATGATTTCCAATCCAATTGCTCAAATAGGGATCATTATTTATTTTAATGCCTCCGCATTGATTCGAACCCTGGATGTTCAACCGATCGAGCTGAAGAGAAGATATCTCTGTCTAAGCAATGTATTGTGGTTGTTATTATTATGATACTTCACATCCAGTAAGGTAATCGTCCTCGAATTTCAATGAATGAAAGAAATCAGAATGTAAAAATATATGCTCCCTTATCTATACCTTTCTGTCCTGTTATGAGATTAAGAACTTTTTTATTAGTCACGAATTTAGAGCTAAAATTGATTTACTGGAAAACATTCATTTCGGTTAGGATAAAAATCAGTTATGCTAATTTCGAATTGATATAGTGATATTCTAAAGATTGTTTAAAAAGTAAACTAAATGGACAAAGATAAGTAATAAAATAAGCCATCCGCTTTCTGGATTAGAACATTCCATTCATTAAGGTCTTGTTGTGGATCGAGCTCTCATTTGGGTTGGGTACGGATCGACCTGCACCAGTGAACTCGTAGGTTGGTAAACTAATTTTAAGAAATAACGGAAAGAAGTGGAACCTTCTCCATGCTGTTATCCATAGTATGGGAGGTAACTCCTTGATATGTAAAAAATAGCGATGGATGATGGAAGAATCATCATCACAAGTTCCCCCTCCTTCTTCATAATGAAATAATAATATTTCAACATTTTCAACAAATCGAGATATTTTATCACAGCAGTTATGAGTTACTGGTGAATAATGGCTGACGTAAGTTTTCGAAAATAATTCGGTCAGTAACTTTTAAGTATTATATCAACAGCAAGTCAGTATAATTCATTCTGGTCATAGAATTTAGTTCCTTTATGAGTGAATTAATTTTTTCTATAACACTATAATTTTCTCATTTCGTTGCTTCCTATCAACTGAATTTACCAATTGTTAATACGAACTGTGACTTTAAAAAGCGGCACATTTATCGAAATACTTCTCATTCAGTAGATACTAAATTTTGTTATGCAATAAATATTGTATCAGTGTCAGACTTATGAAAATTTATATACTATACCAAGGGTTCACGTCTTTCCTTTTAATAAAAAGTAGAGTATCGACACTGTGAGTATAAATTCTTACTATAAAATTTTATTTATGATATTGTAAACGGAATTTTTTTTTAAGTCTTTGATATGATATCATCCATATTAATCGTTTAGAATGTGTACTTCTAATTCACTTTTGAATGTTTTTTAATCTCCATTTCGAAAGAGAGTTTTGTATAAAATCACGAATGTATTGTTTTTTTGGTTTTCCGGAAGTCGGGTCAGTGTTGCGGTTTCTGTGTTATTAGTTTATAAAAGTTGGTCACGTGACCAATGTGTTTTGGAAACATGGCGGCGATGTATACAGTTACCTGTAATAATTTAGTCCAGCAGGTGTCCCAAATTTGACCGAAAGATGAGTCATTTCGGGTAGAAAAGGTAAACATTGTATATGATTACTATTAAAAAGGTTCTATCGATACTTATATGATGGTTTTCGTGTCAAAAATAATGTTAATATGTAGTAAACATGAGATGAAGTGATCATAGCATGAATATCATTATGAAAAATTATCTTGTCACCTAGACAGCAGGAATGTGTTTTCGGGTTTATCCCACGAACCAAGCATATTGAAGTTCAAACCAAAAATAAATAGTGAGCATTTTTATTATTTGTGAACAGTTTCTATAGGATCGTTTTCATTTTCCTACATGGTGGTAAGAATTTATCTATTCATGTTGGAAGATGTTGTTTTTTTTTAAGCATTTACAAGATAAAGACAAGTCGATAGTATCAAAATGTGCAGACATGCCGTAAATTACCAGGAGATGGTTCAGAAATTGGTTTAAATTCTTCATTAACCCGAAGAGTTATGACTATCCACGATTTTATATTTGTCGTGGTCGCATCAATAATAAAGATAAAACGATAAAATATAGATAGGCAGCACCATTTAGGCTACATATATATATGTGCATCATATTATTACAACAATAGAATTGGCAGCACAGTGTTGCAATTGGCAGCATTGATGCCATTCTAACAACCAAAACTAAGGAGACTTGATGTTTATATCAATAGTTGTCATTGTTACATGTCCACAGTGTAAAATAAGGCCCAGTCATTCAATTGACACCATTTTATGGCAATGATACATGCTTCTTTGGCTGCATGTAGAGGGTCTGTAGAGTCATAGAAATATACCATGCCATAAACATGTGTTGGATTCCTGTTCAGTAATGATGGAATATTCTGCTGTTTGCTTACAAATAAAACAGATTAGAAGCAATGATTAGTTATGTGCATTTGATTAATAATTCCTATTTAAAATGATGAAAAAATCCCAACTTATTTTGAGCAACATATAGGCAACATATAGTTTAACAAGAAAGATTAAACTTTGCACATTTTACAAATGATTTTAGAGAAATTTGCTTTTCCTTTCAGAATTAAAAGACAGGGATGGATGCGCGTGATATGGCTGCCTATCTTGGCTATGAACAGGCAAATTTGGCCACTTCTGAGTATATGGCATCTGGAAATGTCGAGATTCCAAGCTCAGACACAAGTGCAGATGTGGTAGACAATGACAACCAGGACCTTGAGGAAACCCAAACTTCAAAGAGACCATACAGAAGTTACTTTACTCAACAGTCAACTCCATCCAATGTCATTGAGACAACTTTTGAGGTGCCAGATGCAGAAGAAACTTTGAAATTGCTACGCAAACCTTTTCAGATAAAGAATCCTGGATACCATGTTTGCAAACGTAGTCCTGATCATAATAGCATTAGTTTTATGCACTGCAGGCATGTACTTGGCCTAGGAAAGCAGTATGAAGCTTTGCGAAAAGTCATGGAAGAGAGGGCACGTTTGGAATTCCTCAGAGATTGTATGTTTCGAATAAAGTCTGTTTCTGCTTTTGTACAAGACCTAGAAACCTTGGTACAGAATGAGTATCGAACATTTTATGCCATTACTCATCAATGTGTTAATGAATCTCCAATGACAAAGTTGTATTGTCTAAATGCTCTCTGTGAAGACCTGCGAACACACATTGGCCACTGGAATAGTATCAAACAGCGCATACACACCAGTAAATGGCTGCAACCAATGATTGGTAGATTGTATATTGATGTTGAGCATGTGCGTAAGTCTTTATTTGCATTGTACAATAGTGCTATATATTGGATGGAGAAGCTCATCATGATTGGCTTTCAAGTTTTCTCCCACAGCAATCTTGCTGGTTTATCACAGGAAGTTCTGTGGAATATCACTCGCGGTCTTGAGGATTTTAACAACATTCTTAACAGCCTTCCAAAAGCTAGGTACAAGCCTTGTGTCATTATCAACAGCCTTCAGTCCGATTGGTGCTACAGAAGTTCAAAGTCAGATCCTAGTTTATCAAACTTCCCAGGTTTCCTGGCCAACAGTGCTAAAGCTATACCATTTTCAAAGATCTTGAATATCATAGCCAGTGAAAGATCAAAATATGCTGCAATGGCTACTCACAGGTTCTTCACCAGTAATGACGAGTTCATGAAAATTCTCAATGCTGGTAAAATACCTGCCTATGTTTGGAATGACGAAGTCCATAGTCAAAATCATAGTATGGCACATGGTCAAGATACATCCGACTATCACACGGCTAGCGGCAGTCTGACTAGCATAAGTGGTGCAGTATTGAGAGTAGGGCCTATCCGAGCTCCTGATCTCAGTCAAAAACCAGCTCCCCTGACAGATTTTGCTTCACAAGAGCAGCACTTTGCAAACACTTTTCTCTTCATTGTGTGCAGCTCAACCCATCTCCTCAGGAAAAATGAAAGCCATTCAAAATCAAAACACAAGAGCAGCAGATCTCAAAATGTCAGCAAAAGTGTCAGTCTTCAGAAGCCTCCAGTTGGCCAGGAAACTCCAGTTCTTTCTCGTTCAGACTCCAAACGAAAGACTGTTTCTTGGGGTGATTCTGATGATGGTTCAATCCGAACACAACTGGTTAATCGCTACATGGACACTTTATGGAAGTGCTTTGGGAAGGCTTTAGAACAGAGGTTTCATGAACCAGCTTGGTGTTCAAGAAAGAGGCCAGAGTTTGGAGGACTAGGAAGTGTTGTATTTTGTAATGCAACTCTCATTGCAGTCATCAGAAACATGATCGAACATGTTTGTTTGAAAGGTATAGTAAAGATTAAATTTCAAAATTTTATTACTTCTATTAAAAGTTTTATATAGATATTACGCAAAAGCACCAGATTGTTATGTCTGCTCTGTTATGGGAGCTGTCTCTTTTTTCCTATAATTTACATTGCAATATGATATCCAACTCATCAAAGAGTGGAAAATGATTTAGAAATGTTAATTGACTAAAGTATAAAACTCTAAACCTTATTTATTTTACAACAGTTGCGAAACAAGTTATTTCAACTTATACTAATCAAAAGTATCAAAGTATCATATATATTCATATATACTAACAATACATAATGACTATTTTGCATATTTCAGATATGTTCCCAGTGACATCTGTCTCCCCAATGCTAGGTCTTGCTCGCAAGTTCCACACTATGTCTGCCATGGCATCTTGGGATACCAGTAAGTAAATTTGTAACTGGTGGCATAATCCAGCATATGCAAGATGTCGTGCAAGATTTCAATGTCATAAAAGTTTGTTATTCTCGAAGCGATCTTGTGAAAACTGACATGAAAATATTGTACATATACATGTTTTGGTAGAAATATGCATATTACCACCCTGTAGTTGACCAGTGATGCATCTTTTCATTTCTAAACAGATATGTGCGAGGTGCTTGCATCACGTCTGAATGACAAATGTTATCCCTGTCCCTTAGTGGGAGGAGATTACAGCACACGGACAGGCATGTTACTGCGCGACACCTACCAACCGCTTTTCAGCATATTACAGGAGGACCTCAAGGACTTGTCAGAAACTGGCAAAGGTAGAATCATCATTATTCTCTGTATGACAATAGAAGACAAGATTGATAATTTTCACATTTATTAACTGCATTTTTAGTAAATTATAATTTGATATTCACCAAGATCAAGACAGTTTTTCATAGGTGACAAGTATTTTCTTTGTCATTATATCTGACATATGCTATCACATAAACTACATGGCATCATTTACAACTGCATGAATGACATCATCATCAAAAGTATATATTAATTAGGACATGATATGTAGTAAGGCTGTGTCACACCAACATTTTACACCTGATTGACTTTCTGTTGGACTTTTACTTTCTGTGTTGAAGAATTTTCTAGTATGCTGTTAAGATTTTTGAGATACATATATTAGTACTTATCATATACCTCTGCTATAATAGCAGTATATTCTCTCTTCTTTGAGATATGAGGGTTCTGTAAAATTATTTGTGTGATATGGTCAATCTTTACTGTTACAGATGCCACAGTGCTGGTGCCAAAGCAGGATTTAGATCTGTACCATACAACCAGCATCATTTGTCGCCTGTTGACAAACTGTCAGGTGGCACACAATTGGTGTGTTCACAAGTCCCAGGCATTCCTATCATCTTGGGCTGTTGGTAACTTCCTTCTTATCACACAGACAGACCTCAAGGTACGCTCTCTTCAGCACTTAGTGTTTTATTTTCTGATGGCATTATATATAAGGCGTATATATATTATGAATGAGTTTTGCAATGTATAATTGTAATAAAACTTGAGGAGTAATTAATACCATGACATGTATACAGTATCAGCTAAGCTTGCCATAATTTTCAGTGCAAGCCTCATAAAGATACATTAAATTTTCTCAAGTCCGGGTGGAATTTAAAAGGAAATTTCCAAATTGTGTTAAAAGAGTGAGCAGAGGACTAAAAATTATGTTCAAGATCAAAAGTCTTTATCATGGTAAAAAAAACAAATGAAAGAAATCACCAAATATAATAAAAACATTGTTTTACAGATTTTGGCTGATGAGACCAAAAAAGCATTGTATCAATCTAGGATCTTCAGTGGAAAATCTATCAGTAAACCATCACAAGCCGAACAAGAGATGATTGTTTACCTAGAGGAGATAACTCAACAAATGTCATCAGCTGATTCACAGTTACAGGTGATATAGATCTCCATTATACATTATTCTAAAATGTATTATATGTTTAGGTATAAAACATAAAATATTGACATATCCTGTGACCAGCTGTCAGTGTAATATAGAATTATAGATTTTTAGACAGCTTAATTAAAACTTCAATACATATATCATAGATCTTTTTCATAACATGTTTAAAGGGATGTTGATTTATAACAAAGAGAGTCAATTAATACATGCTTATCACAGCCAGTTAACCAGACCTTGGGCTTGGCCATCACATTTTTCTGTCATACTGTTGCCTTTTTTGTCATGCCATTCATTTGTATTTACAGACACTATCCGGATCTTCCATGAAGATCTTCTGTGAAAACTGTGAGAAAATGGCAGATGAGTACTTTAAGAAATCCATGCCTGTTGGAAAAGTGTGGAAAAAGAAAGCAGCACCAGGTTAATGGTTTTTTTGATATTTCATTTTTATGTCAGGAAATCTTAACCTTAGATTGAGATTTCTCTCATCTACATTGGTGAGAAAATGTACTTGATATTACCACTAGGTATATAACAGCTGCATGGTTTAGGTCATCTGTGTCCTCAGAAATCATTTATTTGTTTGTCATCCTGTGAACAGTCGGGGGCGTTTTCATACAAAGTCTCCCAGCAGCAGCTTGAAGCTTCCTCACTGTACAATGTATGTGAGGCAAGCCAAATAAGCCAATAAGAGTAAAGTGTTTTGCTGTAACTGACACATTCACTCTAGTACTGGACTTTTACATGCATTAAACAGCCTGTGTTTCTGATTATTCAGCGCAAACACCACTGATATGGTTGTTCTATTTTGTAATATTTCAATAAGAAATCAGGTTAATGTTTCCTCAAAAATCACTGCTGGGAATGATGGTGGCTTGATTATCAAAGGATTCAGATATAGTTCAAAACTCGAAACAACAATTGTGAAGCAAATCATAGCAATTGATGTTAATCAGTCTTGCTCACCTTGATCTTAGCAAAACATGCTGGATATCCACTACGCCACCTTTATATTTATACTGTATTCTACTGCAATGGGATTTTATTTATTATGTTTCTGTGTTTATAGATTTATGTTTTTTTCATTTTATGTATAGTGAAGTCCTTTAGATAAATGTATACTTTGTTGTTATGTTTCAGAGCTTCCAACAGAACACAGTTTGTACATAGAACATGCTTTAGAGGCTATTTTGGAGCCTGTGATAGAGGGAGTGAGTAAACTTAGACAGACTGCCCAGCTAAGTGCTATCTCCATGGCAACTACCTCATTGTGTGAATCATGGAAAAACTTCATCCTCAAAGAAAAAATCAAATTTAGGTAAGCTGGTTGTGTTGACAACGATGGCCTGAAAAATAAATCTAAAAGATGAGCGAGTAAGACAAGATTTCTGTAAATCTTTCTGTTTAGTCAGTCCACTTATGTATGACTACAGGTCAAATTTATTCCAGTCTATAATGAAAGTCAGAGAACACTACATGAAATATATACTGGAACTGGGTGTTTTGCATCCTGTCATTTCCTTTTCCTTAGATGCAGTAATTGTGGTGTGCAGTAAAACTTACTGTACAGTTGGTGATATTCATGTGGGGTTTCAATATATTTTCACAGTCAATAAAGATAGTGTGAAGTTAGATACCCAGGGAACATTTGTATGGCCAACGGAAATCTGTTTCGCCTGTATACATTGACACCAGTTTATAGATTTGTGCAAATTTTAATACCTGTCAACATGTAAAAGCTGATCACAAAATTCTAGACCCATCAAAATAAACAACTGCATGGTATTTACTTAACTAAGGAAATTACAAGTAGTTTGTTTTGTGTTGATAAAACGCTATTAGCTGGAGCAAAAATCAAAGTTTTAGTACATTAAGTTACTGTTGCAAATTCACATGTTAATTTATGTTTCCAGTTACATTGGTGCCTGCCAACTTGGAATTGACTTGCATTTTATCAAAAGATGGCTGAGTGAATACATCACTAACTCAGATGTGCGTCAGAGCATTCTGGATCTTAGTGTGTTCCGCTATCTGAATGGTGCAGTTATGGTGCTGAAGAAACAGCCTTACCGCAAAAGTGGGGGAAGGCTCTTTCGTGAACCCTGCTCTTCCGAAGACCTCAGTAAGTGACTTGTTTTATTTCAACATTTTTGTTATATTCAATACATGATGATTGTAATGTTGATATTCCTGTTAAATGGGAATAAGTGTGAAATTGTAGTTTTTCAGTCTACAACTTCTCTTCTGTTAATGTTTATTCAGAATTTATGATGAATAGTATAAATTGATTAGGACATACATGTGTATTGCCTTATCATTCATATTTCAAAATGTAAGGTGACTATTGTGGGTTCTGCTTGGTAATCTATAAACAATTTGTACTATCAGACATACAGTGCTTCTCTGATCTGCCTTTACTCTAATATTTGCTAGTCTTGTACAACTTTGTATTTGATATTATTTGCAGTATTTCATTTTACTTGAGTTACTATAACAATCTGCTGAAAGGCTTCTTTTACATATTCTCTGAAATCAAGGAATAAACTTGTAGATATATTTATGTTAAATTTTGGGAATATAATTGTATATTTTCAAACTGCTTTTGTAGATTTTAAACAAGTTTCTTGTTGAAATTGTAAAAAATTCATAGGACTTAATTATGTAGTATTACTTCACAGGTTGTGGTGATATGGAAGCAGTTCCTAGAGATAATAAGAACTCGGATCGCTCTCCAGACAGTGAAGTTGATATTGATAATCCATCAGACGAGTCTGACATCCGCTATGTTCAAAACATTGATGACTGGCTAGCACTGCGAGTACAAGGGGGAGCTAAGACCTGGCGCTTCTCACTGTGTCTCAATACTCCAGCTACAAACCAATGAGAGCTTTGGATACAATTTAGACTTCAAAACCAACCAGTGAAAACTACTCTTGTGTTGGGGGTGTAAAATTTTGACATCTGAAAATTTAACCTATTTTGTGTAGATTTAGAAAACCACTTAAGGCAAAGGGATTTTAATTTCAGACAGGTACATCTCTACATTTTTCTATCTAGCTTTTGAATTTTATGAATTACTTCATATAAAAGCTAATGTTAATAAGCCTTAGATTAGATTCAAATTCCATGTATACGTATACCAGTAATCCAGATAAATAGATGGTCACTTTTTATCACAATTAAATGAAATCTTTAGTTTTAAACTTTAAAAAAAATTAAACAGCTGGTACCTAATTTATTTTAAATTTCAATCAACAAGAAGTCATGAGATGTGAATGTTTTGAACACACTTCCCATCATTAATAGCTTTGATGTGCTATGATGTGAAGTATTTTATAACTGAGAATACACCATTGTATAGGATAAAGCTTTGTAAAATATAAAAATGTAACTGTAGTAAAAATATCTATATTTATATACTTATTTATTTACTGTGATAGTGTAGATTTAGAATTACCATGGATTTGTATTCTGGCTAAGAAAGAGAATTATTTTATTGCAAGGTAATGATTTTACATGTACTTATGCTGACGAAAATCTTTGTTAAAAAAATACAGTTTCGTTAGTAAATACATACTTCACTAGTAGTGGAGAGGTTAAGGATAAATCAGAGTTAATTTATCCTGTAAATGATTAGTATGTAGCTACTGCCGTAGACTTTGTGTTTTATAAAAATGGTGAAAAGTGTCTCATAAAGTTCTCCATGGAGCTATATGGTTGACATAATGATGTAACAAGACACCTTGTATCGAGCCAAGCTGTTATTAGTGATGGAATCTTGTCTAACAGAATGTCATTGATATTACTAAAGTATCATCTCCCCTTGATTTAGATGACATTGAGTTTCAGATTTACTGTAATAGCTATTCTCTCTCCAACTTCTAATAATTAGATTTAGAAACAACGAACAATATATTAGATGTAAACATGTATTAATAGCTGTAGTGTAGAGGACAAAATCTTTATCATTAGAGATTGCTGAGATCAGTTTTGAACAAATAATTCCAAAAGGCTAGAGCTTTGAGTATCTTGTTAATAACAACAGATGATTATTTTTTTAATCACTTTCTTTCACAATCTTTTGTTTACATTACAGCTTGAAACTTGCTTGGTAAAATTCAGATATTTGGCATTGAAATTATTTGTACATATTAAAAAAACTTGTTTAAGGAATCCATCACAGGTTGGCCAATGCTTATATTGACAGGTTTCTTGCAATGATTTGATTTATATTGAAGCAAAGCAGGAGAAAAGGGGAATTTTACTATTTGTTCAAATAAAAGAGTAAGAATGTCTTTTAATTTATTTCAAATATGGAATTGACCTACCTCCAAAGGAAATTATTCCACATTTCATGAAAATTTTAAAAGATATACTTCCATGACATTTTGTAATTTTCATATTTAATGAAAGGAATGTTTAAACTTTTTATATCCTTTTGAGTCATTTTTCAAATGTTAGCACTTATTTTCTTCTCAATTTCCTGAAATGGCATGTTGATTGTATTTTGTTGTTTGAAATTAATTTTAGATTATTCTGTAGTGCTGCCATGTCTGTATATAAAGGGTTGTGCAATTTTTGTTTTCCTAAATGATAAAAGCATTTTTAGTTTTGTTATTTTCAGTGCTATGGTTTTGGTATAGGGATTACTGTTCCTACCTCTTGCTGTACAAGTCATTTGTTGTAATAGTCAGTAATTCTAGTATTGAGAAATCATATTTATTTTGTGACATTTAAACATTCCTATGCTGTTTTATGTAATCCGTCCTTTGTTTGTCCTTGTTTACTACATTTGTTCACTGGTTTCACATGTAGGCAGAATCAGATAAAGCTTTCAGATGTAGGTCTGGCTGTCTGTGTATTCAGTAGTCTTGTGTGAGGCCAAATAGGTTATTTTTTTCCAGTTTCTCAGACCTCTGGAATATTTTATTAAGATAAATTTCTGATTTGAGATCATAAAAAGCAGCTGTCTTGATGCCTGATAAACTGAACATCAATTATAAATGATAATAGAATTCTAACATTACATGAAGTTCTGTGTGAAATGACCTGGTCCCACAAAGAAATGACCTGGTCCCACAAATCAGTATGATAAGTATTGTCTCACTGTTGTGAAGGAGGAAAATCAAGACTAAAATGTTATGTTTCCATTGGCGTCCATGTTGAGAAGTTGTGTTCTATTTCCTAAAAAAAAAAAATCAATACTTCAAAAGCGATTTTCAAGACATGAAAAGAATGAAAAAGAAATTGAAATTCTCCAAATTCATTGACATGATAACTCCTTGATCTAATAATCTTAGAACAAGTAACCTAGTATAAATGATACTTCACTAGAAATTTTGTATAAATTGTTTGTATTTTCCCAATTTGTTTGTTTTAATTTTAAACTGAGGATGTTACCTGAAGAGACTAGTACATGCATTTTACATATATATTTTAATCCTACACCTGCATTTACTTTTATTCAGATTATCATAGTAAAGCCAAAAGGTAAAACTTATTGGCATGAAAGATCAAAACAAAATCGACTGCTTCAGTAAATTGATTTGGTGTAAATGTATAGAATTGTTTGCATAGGTGTTATTCTGAGAAGACAGAAAATATTGAATTATTTATGTGTATAAAAGATATATTATGAAGCTCTGTCTTAATTACATAATGAGGGTTTGTTCTAAACTTGTTTGATTCATCAGTGTGACTCACAAATCATATCACCATTCAACCAAAATTTTGAGAAAGCATTTAATACACTTATAATAATCATTATGATTAAAAAGGTATGAAAACAGGAAACACAATTTCCTGTGGAATTACCATCACCGTCAGAAAGTAGAAATGTTATTGTAATACAAGCAAACATTCACTTTATAACAAGTGTATCATTTTTGTTATGTCAGAGTATTGGCAAAAAAGAGTCTTGTCAAACTCAGTTTTTCCTGTCTTTATTCCATGACATACATCATATATCATTGATGACATTTATTATGTAGTTTTCCTGTTCAAACAGTTTTAAGTTCTGTCAAAATCAATTTGTAAGTAAATATACTTGTCATTTAGATAGTGCTTCTTAAATTTTTGAAAATATTTTGTCAACCCCGACTTTTGTTGTGGTGAAGTGATCTAATGCAGCTTTTCTTAATAATTGGAAGTCTGTAAGAGAATGTGAACCAGTTTTCCTTGATGACAAGCCCCAGGAGCAAGAAATAATTTCAAGTGTAAAACTGTCTTTAGTTTTTATTTGGCCAATCACAGAGTCATGTCATTTTTTCACATCAACAAAAGATATAACAATCAACACCTACTAAAAAGAGCAGATAACTCTGTATCATGGAAAGACAGAATAATGTCATAAAAAGAGACATCATATGTCATTTGCTAAGCAAAAGCTTCATTTTTTTTATAATCCCCATGACTGTGTACTAAAAGATCCAACTTATGTTCAAAACACAGACCTGTATTAACCTGTATTAACTGCAGCTTAGCATACAGATCGAACTTGATAGTAGATTGTTCATTCACAATGTCCTTTAATGCCAAAACAGAAATCTTAGTTTGTGAAAGATTCATCCCTGTAAAATAGTGCTGATCGCTTAATTAATGTGTTGTCTTTTATCATATAAATCTTTTAGAATGTCTAGTCACTGTAATATCCCACTGTGATATGTATATATATCAACATCACCATGTATTGGGCATTTTGTGTAGAATTTATACATTCTGTGTATTTCCAAATCATCAATATAATCTATCAGTATGAAAACTCACAATCAACTCAAGATAAATACCCAATACATGTAACACACATATAAGTCAAATCCCAGGACTATTTTGTTAGAATTTGCCTGCCTGTTCATTCAGTCTTTTAAAAAGTTCACTTTCCTGAACGCTAATATAACTACTAGTTGTTACACAAGGAAGATGAAATTAGTTATGTAATGATATTACATCTTGGGAAATACAACACCGTATTTGATAAGTATTTACATATAAATATGTACTTGTGTAAAATTAAGAAACAAAGTTTGTCTTGGGAACTATATATGTTGTGTGATGCTGTTGTTATGTTTGTCAGGGTAAAATTGAGTTCTTCCGATGGTGTCCATGATCACTGGTTTATAGTCAGAACATTGTACCATGTTGTTGATCAAGATATCGGCTTACCAAAAATGTATGTATTTCTGTGAATTGTTAAACATAATGTGTCCAGGTTTTTGTATTCATGGTAGTTGATCACGTAAAAAACAAAATTTGATTAATGGACATGCGACTATTTTGAAACCATAAAATCAATTTTTTTTACATGAAATATCATTTAATGATTTATTTATGATAAGAGATATTTTAAAATCCACACTTACCAGGTAATTATTTTAAAATCCACACTTAATTGTATCATAATAGATAGTAGTTGCCATACTAATTAAGTTCTTAGGGAGATTAGAAATAACCCAGATTAAGGTTTTAAGTTTAGGGATGAAGCTTTTGTATTTTTATTATGTTATTATGTTGTTTTGATTAAGTTTCTGTTTGTGTCTAATCCTTGTCTTTTTATCGCTGATAGTTAGTAACATTATTACAGATACCTGGTAGATTGCGTCCTGTTATGTTCCTAGTTCTGATACAGCCTTTTTGTAGTAAATAATTATTGTATAGGACCTCCAGCTTATAGTACAGGTAATACTTATAAAGACTTTTTTCCTCTTCTTTTAACATAAAACAATTTTCACACACTGAAAGTGTGTATACTATGAAAAAGTGAACATTGTTCATAACAATAGTAGCTCATTTCTTAAGTTTCAGATTTAAGATTCAAACATTTATGTATAAACCACTACATTATTGCATACTACTGTACGGTACATTTTGTACAGTGATGCAAGTATT